CAGACCTAGTGTGGCCTGCCCAAGCTGTCCCCTGCCACCCGTGTCTGCCTGTCAGCCAGAGAAGCCAAGACTGCCAGCCAGAGCCTTGGAGGACATTCACCTTTGGACCAAGGGGTCACACTGGCACCAGGGACTTGGAGGGGCTGAGGTCCAGGGAAAACTTGTTGAGCTGATTTATTTGTTCAGCTGTCTGGGCACTGTTTCAAACACATACCATGTATTTGTATCTATACTCTATTTACATCTACATCTACATCCAAATCTATATCCATCTCTATGTACGTAATACATACACATATACATATATACATATATGTATACACACGCACATGTGTGTACGTGTGTATGTATAGGAGCTAAGAAATTTGCCAGGGTTCACACAGATAGTAAGTGTCACATGTAGAATTCAAACTCAGGCAGTCTGGCTCCTAATCATTCCTGGATCTGTTGCCAGCTAGATTAAATTCCTCCTTAAAGCGCAAGGGGGCTCAGGCATGCAGCTCCACCCAGTCCCAACCTGCCAGCTCCTGCCTAGAGGGAGGAGCTGGCAAGGTAAGGTGCAGCCTCAGGAGGAGGGACTGTAATCTGGAAAGACGTTGATATAGGAGGTGGGGTGTGGCAAAACTGGCTGGAGAAGTGGGCCAGACCTGTCGAGTTAAAGATGCCAGGAGGGCCGGGGATTTAGCTCAGCGGTTTCGACGCCTGCTGCGCAAGCCCAAGGACCAGAGTTCGATCCCCGGTACCTAAGTAAATAAATAAATAAATAAATAAGAGAAGCCAGGGCCGAGCCAGGTGATTCTCCAGATACCATGTGTAGAGCCTTCTCGGAGGCTCCCATGAGATGTGGATGGCATAAAGGACACCAGATCCACCAGGAGCCCGCTAAGGTGCTCCTCACAGTGGCCCACCCTGGGTCTCCTAGACTCAGGGTGCACTTTTATTTTTGCTTTTATCTTTTCTTTCTTTCTTTTTTTTTTTGGTACCAGGGATCAAACTCCGGTCCTTGCACTTACGGGGCAGGCGGCGGAACCACTGAGCTAAATCTCCTGCCCCCTGCTTTTATCTTTTCTTTTCTTCTTCTCTTAGTCCTTCGCCCCTCACCTTTGTTTTTTATTTGTTTGTTTGTTTTTGTACCTGGGATCGAACTCAGGACCTTGAGCTTGCAAGGCAGGTGCGGTGCCACTGAGCTAAATCCCTGGCCTGAACTCTCACCTTTGAAATAAACTTTTGGCACCATTTTTAGCTTGTCTCATCCAGTTGTTGCTAGAGACAAGAGGGACCTGGAATGCTTTTGTTTGACGAACCATTTTTAAAGGCACTGCCCAACAGCAATTTCCCCTCCCCTTTACCACTCCCTCAACACCTCTCCCTCTGTTTTTTGGTGGGTTTTTTTTGGTATTGGGGATCGAACCCGGGTCCTTGGGCTTGTGCAGCAGGCAGTGAAACCACTGAGCTAAATCCCCAGCCCCTCCCTCTGCTTTTTCACAAAGATCGATTCATCAGTTCAACCTCGGTGTACTGAATTATTCCCAACCTCACTCCTCAGAAGGGCCCAAGGAGGTAGATGACCAGATCTCACCACCTGAAAGACAGCTGAAGTGCACCCGGGGCCTGAAATGTCCCGGTGCAGACGCAGCCAGTGAGGCCTCCCTGACGACCCAGCCTTGGCTGACTGCAGACATAAACGGAATTTAAACTCTACTAATCAGAAGCAGCTGATAACAAGGGCCTTCACAACTGGTTATAGAGCAGATAAGGATGTTTTCTTTGCTTTCTGCTGTGTTGGTCCTGTAAAACTTTCCCCTTGAGCTCCATTTCTGATTTGGAGCTGCCTGATTTGCCTTTTTTTTTTTTTCTTGGTTTTTGTTTTTTTGGTACTGGGGATCAAACTCAGGACCTTGTGCTTGCAAGGCAGGCGCGGCGCCACTGACGTAAATCCTCCCGCCCGACTTTGGCTTATTGTTTATTTTTTTATTATTTTTAATTTTTATTTTTGGCTTATTTTTTAACATTACCAAAGAACAGGGGCCGGAGATTTAGCTCAGTGGGGCCACCACCTGCCTCGCAAGCTCAAAGTCCCGAGTTTGATTGATCTCCAGTACGGGACGGGGTGGGGTGGGGGGCGTGGTTGGGCAGCACATATACTAAAACATTACCAAAGAATGCTGATAAATAATGCCCTGTTTGCTGCCTCAGCAGCTTCATACCTGACACCTTGATAATGCGACACTATTAGATCACCACATATAGAGCAACCCCAACCGATCCTGGTTTTTCTAGAACTTACCCAGTTTTAAAACTGAAAGTCCAAAAAAAAAAGCTGAAAGTCCAATAGACCCTGTCTCAAAAAACAAAACCAAAGAATGTGGCCTGAAAACACTATGTGCAGTGTAATAGACATTCTTCCTTAGAACCCTGGCTTTTGAACTAATTTTATTTTATTTTATATTTTTTAGGTACTGGGGATTGAACTCTGGTCCTTGCGCTTGCGCAGCAGGTGGCAAAGCCACTGAGCTAAATCCCCAGCCCCAAAACATGTTCTTTCTCAATGCTTTTTTTTTTTTGGTACCGGGGATCGAACTCCGGTCCTTGTGCTTGTAGGGCAGGCAGCAGAACCACTGAGCTAAATCCCTCGCCCCTTGAACTAATTTTAAGTGAAGTTAAATAATATATAACAATGTCTGAAGACACAAGAGACATGTAGGGTTATTTCTTCAGATAGAGTCATATAAATAAAACTGAAAGTCGGGCCTGGATTTAGCTCAGTGGTGCCGCCACCTGCCTCAAAAGCGCAAAGTCTTGAGTTCCATCTCCGGTACCAAAAAAAAAAAAAAAACCCCTGAAAGTCTGAGCCCAGGATATAGCTCAGTAGTGCAGCACCTGCCTGGCAAATTCGAGGCCCTGAGTTCAATTCCCAGTACCAAACAAAACAAAACAAAACTGAAAGTCCCTTGTTCTGGGGAACTCTTCTGAGACAGCTGAGATGATTTAGTCATTCTCATTCCATAGGATGCAAGCCGTAAAGTCTTTTTGCTGGAAACCTAGAGATTTGGCTTGGAGCTTTCTGTTAGCAAAGACAAAAAGAGAAGCACTGTACATAAAAGTTTTAGTGTCTATAATAGCATTATCCTGCAGAAACTTCTGCAGTGATGGAAATCTGAACTGTCCAATATAGTAGTTTCTAGCCACACATCTCTACAGAACACCTAAAATGTGGTAGTATAACAGAGGAACAGACTATTTCATTTTACTTCGGTATTATTTAAATAGCCTCTGCTGTGAATTCGAGGCCAGCCTGGGCTACACAATGAGTTCAAGGCCAGGCTGAACCACATAGTGAGACTCTGTTTCAAAAAAATAAATAAACAGGGGCCAGGGATTTAGCTCAGTGGTGCCGACGATGCCTGCCTCGAAAGCACAAGGTCCTGAGTTTGATCCCTGGTACCTAAATAAACAAACAAATGAATAAATAAATAGGGCTGGGGATGTAGCTCAGTGGTACCACACCTGCCTGGCAAGAGCAAGGTCCTGAGTTCAATCCCTGGTGAAAAAAGGAAGGAAGGAAGGAAGGAAGGAAGGAAGAAAAGAAAAAGAAAGAGAAAATTTTTTTAACAACCCCAATTGGTTAATGGCAACTGCATTAGACAGCACAGGTGTATTAGATAAAAACCAACAAGGTGCTCAGGAAGAAGCTTAATGTCAAGGCCTGAATTTCTCCTAAGACTTAGCACACTTGAGGCAAATATAATAGTGCATTTGTCATATATATATATATATATATATATAGTGCCATATATAAAAGCAAGGGCTTCTATAGCAGTGCCACATGCTAACGATCAAGAGCCCTTTTCAAAGGTTCATTCACTCAGTTCTCAGTTATCCTACAAGGTAGGATAACTTTCAGATAGGCACTTTCACCATCCCCGGGGATAAGGCCCCTCCCGGATCCTGAGAGAGACCAAAGGAGAGCAGATCTCCCACCCTTCCTAGGTGGAGCTGGAGCCCAGGGAGCCGTCGTGAGGTAGAAAAGAGCAGGAAAGAGGGAAGAGGAGAGGGCCTCTGGAGGCCCCCGCCGCCACCCCAAGACTGACAGCACTTGACTCCATGGAAAAACTGAGCAATGACTGGCACTAGAGTGCATCTGGGGCGTCAGAAGTAAGACTTTGTCTGCCAGGTCACAGGGTATCCCTGTACCCGCTTAGACGTGGAGCCTGGACCCACCCAGGAAGCCTCTTCCGTATGAGCTGTGGGTGTTCCCCAACTTCCCTCCATACCGGTCCAAGTGCCCGCATCTCTGAAGCCCACCAGGTCCCTCAGGCTCTTCCAGGGAGCAAAAGAGGAGGCAAATGTGATACCCCTACCTCACTGCCACCCTCGTCTGTGACTGAGCAGCTGATGACTCCAGAGTCAGAAATAGCCCCGAAGTCAGCTCCCTTGTGCCACATTCCTCTCCTCTCCATTCCCAGAGAGTCTAGGCCCTGAGTCACAGGGAAGAGTCCAGAAGTGGACAAGGACCTAGAGAATAGTGTGGAAACTAGGGCCCTCTTGAGGAGCTGGGGGCGGTTATTCAGAAATTCCCCAACCCTTCTCTCTGGAATGAAGACAGGGGAATGAGGAGGGAGGAAGGCTGGGCTCCTCTCAGAGGGCTCTGACCCCACACGATGGTGTACATGGCATCCACACAAGAAACCAGCCCAGCCTAGAGAAAGGGGATTCAGAGGATTAGAGGCAGGGTCATCCAGGTATCAAATGCCCCTCCTTATTCATTCCCCCAAAATAGCCTGGTCACCCCCACCCCAGGCCACAGCTGAGTCACTGCCCCACTCCTCAGAGCAGACTTTGCACGAATGAAGCTCTGCTCTCCCTCCCAGCCCTTCCCCTGCTCAGAGGACACGACTGACTCCTCGGGATGGAAGAGAGACTTCCACAAGCTCTAAAAATAACAGAACCACTTAATACTCTGCACATAGCTACCCTACCCGCCCCCACGCTGGCCCACCCCAACCAGCAAGATAAAGGCAGCTGCCAGGCAGGCAGAGCACAGACCCAGAGCCAGGGCAGTGAGAAGACGCCTGACCAAATCCGAACAAGAGTCCAGCAGAACGACAGACCCCTGACTGCACCTGCTACAGACCCAAGCACCCCAGCAGCCTAGTGAGACCCTCAGTGAGTAACCTGCCCCTGACCTCCATGGCATAGCAGCTCTCAAGCCTGGGCCCTCTGAACCCTCTGGGATGGGTGGATCTGGGGCACGTGGCAAGGGGGTTGGGAGAGAGCCGGAGTCCACGAGGAAGGTTCAAGAATTTGTGTCGCTCAATGGGAGTTCTTGGAGAAGCTGCCCACAGGCCTAGGCCAGCCAAAGGGATGGCCATTTTCCAGTCAGGATAATCCAGAAGGTTTTCAGGGGGTGCCTGGAGATCTGATTTTTTTTTTTTTGGTACCAGGGATTGAACTCAGGACTTTGGGCTTGCAAGGCAGGTGGCAGAACCACTGAGCTAAATCCCCAGCCCTGGAGATCTGAGTTTTAAAATCCAGGTGTGAAGCACCTCAGGCTTCAGGGGATCCTCCTGGGCAAGCCTCACAGGCCCAGGGACTGGAGGAAAGAGGACAGAGAACCAGGAGGGAGTGGGGATTAGAGACAGTCAGTGGACCAAGATGCACTCTAGGACAGGCCCCTCGCCTCACTGCTGTGGGCAAAAGTCTTGGCATGTTCTGTCCATGAATAGCCCCCCAGTGCTGGCCTGAGCCCAGCTCCCTACTTATGGTGGCCTAGAACCTGGGTAGGATGACTCTGCCTGGCCACCTCTTGCCCTGTGGGAAAGCCCTCAGGCCGGATCTGAGTCCCCTAGAGGTGAAAACGGGAGAAGGCCAGGCTAAGGAGGAGCCCCGGATGAAGGGGGGCATCCTGAGAGGCCACGCTCTGGGACAGTCTGGTTCCAGTTCTGAATTCTGCCCTCACCCCAGCTCTGCCCCGGATCTCAGGCTAGGCAAGGGTGAAGGAGGGAGGGCCAGGAGTTAGGAAACCCATTGCAGGCTTTGCTCTGCCTAGCTGGGCCTCCCTGGGCAGCTCTTCAGTTTCCCACTCTGAACAAGAAGAGGGTTGGATTCTGTGACCTCCAGAAGGTCCAAAGGTCCTTGGACTGGTGTCTCTGGACTGATTCCAGCACCCTATGACCTTAGCAGGGTTTCTGGAGATTCCTGGGAATGGGGATAGGGTAGAGTTGGTGGCCTGAACATGATATCTGCTTGGGCTACCACCAGGGCTCAGGAATTAAAGGAAACCACCCAGAATGTTCAGGAGACTCCAGCTGAAGGCTTCAGCACTCACACTCCTCAGGGCTCTGAGGTCCACAGTAGTCAGGCCATACACTCCCAGGTCAGTTTCCTCTCTCCTCCTTCTGAGAAGGAATCCTGTCCCCCACCTGCTGCCAGTATCCCTGCACCTACCCACAACCACTGTTTCCTTTGACCAGGGGAGGGCTCCAGGCTCCAGTGCCCAGGTGAGCTGCAGGCCATGGGTCTGGGGCCATACAGGAACCAGGAGACTGAGCCCTCCGGGAGCCAAGGGTAATGAAGGAGATGACATGCAACACGGCCACCAGGGTCTCCACTGGCCGAGCCTGAACCTCCCTCTGAGTGCAGGGCTGCTATTCTGAGGCCAGGATCTCAGCTATATTTAGCCCCAAGAGTGGTGAGGAGCTGTGGGAGAGGGGAAGCAGGAGGACTGAGTGCTTTTCATTCTTTCCCTACTGGGCTCTGGGGACTGTCGTAACACCTGTCATAAGACAGATAAGACATAGATGAGACAGAAGCCAGAGAAGAGCTTGAGGCACGGGAGGCCATTGAGGGTGAGGGCAGAGCTGGGGACAGGCCTGCCTTGTGGAAGCTGATGGACATAAAGAGGGGGGAAAAGAGGAGCCCAGAGCTAGCTCGGGGCTTCAGGGGCATACCTCAGCCTGAGATCCTACACCCAGAAATGCCCAAAGCTATGCTTGCATGCACACCGATGAGTTGGAGTCTCCATAGGCAAGGGGCAGGGCTGTGTCTACAAAGAGGACCCTGGTTCCCCAGTCTTTCCCCCTGGAGGTGTTACCTTCATATTCTCCCAGGCATGCCTGCTGCAGAAACAGGTACCCTGGCCAATACAAAAGCTTCACATCCCCAGCCCCCTTATTTCTTGGAGGCCAGGGACCCTTAAACAGGGTCTAGAGACCCCAAGCCAGCACCACCTGCCACTCATTCACCAAGAGCTGATTCTGAATCTCAGTTTCCTCATATTTAATCATAAAAGTTTGGGCTAAAAGACCTTTACGATCCACCTAGCTCAGACCTTCTGAGTCTTGGGGGACAGGACAGAAAACTCAGACCTAGAATTGAGAATTCTTGAATTCTAGAATTCTGCCTAACCATGAGATATTTGGTGAGCAAATTCCCCTCCCTGATCCTTGGTTGCTTCTGCTATGGCATAGGCTACTGACTCCTGCCACATCTCTCTGGACCTGGGAAAGTTTGAAGCGAGTTGAGTGCAGGGAAGTAGAGATTTGGCTGGGTTTCAGGCCAAAGTGCTCCCTCTGGTCCTCTGCAGAGGAATTGCATCTCCATGCCAAAGCAACACTCAACAGTTTAGGGACTCCTCCACTCCAAGACTGAGAACCCATCAATCAGGATTTCCACAGGCCACTCACCTAGGGGTCTAATTTTCACCTAGGGGTCTAATTTTCACCTAGGGGTCTAATTTTCACCAGGGAAAACTGATTTTGGCAAAGAAAGGCAAAGACAAGACATCCAGTTTTCCCACTGGAAATTAGGCATCCCTTCCATTCCTTGGAGCTGAAGGAAAGACTCTCAAATTCAGTGGTGCCCCCCCCCCCCGCTCCCTAGCAACCAAGGTGAAGCTTGGAAGCAGGAACTAATCTTGAGGGGTGGGTCCACAGGTCCCAAGTTCAAGATTTGTCACACACCAACCATGCAGGTAGCAAAGTGAGCCTCAGGGTCTCTAAATAAAAGTCACCCAAAGCTAATCAACCCCTGGGCTTTGCTCCCTGCCACTGGTCCCAGCAACTGTCTCCACCTGACCTGAGGACCTCAATGCCACCCTCATCTCTGTCCCTTTCCCTCAGAAGGATGGCCGAAACCCAGGCGCAGGCGACCCCCAAGCCAACCGTCCCAATGGCAACTGCAGAGGGCCTGTCGCTGCCTCCACCCTCGACCCTGGGACACCTGCCACCACCACCACCCAAGGAATCCTTCTCCAAGTTCCACCAGCAGCGGCAAGCTAGCGAGCTCCGCCGCCTCTACAAGCACATCCACCCGGAGCTCCGAAAGAACCTGGCCGAGGCTGTGGCCGAGGATCTGGCTGAGGTCCTGGGCTCCGAGGAGCCCACAGAGGGTGACGTCCAGTGCATGCGCTGGATCTTTGAGAACTGGCAGCTGGACGCCATTGGTGACCGTGAGCAGCCAGCTGCCAAGGAACCCGTGCCAGGCGGCGATGTCCAGGCCACCTCCCGCAAGTTTGAGGAAGGCTCCTTTGCCAACAGCGTAGACCCCCAGCCACCAGGACCCCAGCCATCTGGAGGTGACGTTCGTGCTGCCCGCTGGCTGTTTGAGACAAAGCCGCTGGATGAGCTGACAGGCCAGGCAGAGGCGACAGAGGCCCCGGGGAGGGAGCCTGTAGCCAGTGGAGATGTGCAAGGGACCAGGATGCTCTTTGAGACTCGACCACTGGACCGCCTGGGCTCCCGCCCCTCCATGCAAGAGCAGAGCCCGCTGGAGCTGCGCTCAGAGATCCAGGAGCTGAAAGGTGATGTGAAGAAGACGGTGAAGCTGTTTCAAACCGAGCCACTGTGCGCCATCCAGGACGCCGAGGGCGCCATCCATGAGGTCAAGGCGGCCTGCAGGGAAGAGATCCAAAGCAACGCGGTAAGGTCCGCCCGCTGGCTCTTTGAGACCCGCCCACTGGACGAGTTCAATCAGGACCCTAGTCAGGTGCGGGTGATTCGCGGGATCTCCTTGGAAGAGGGGTCCCGGCCGGACGTCAGCGCTACGCGTTGGATCTTTGAGACGCAGCCCCTGGACGCCATCAGGGAGATCCTGGTGGACGAGAAGGACTTCCAGCCATCCCCAGATCTCGTCCCTCCAGGACCAGATGTTCAACAGCAGCGGCATCTGTTTGAGACTCGCGCTCTGGACACTTTGAAGGGGGAGGAGGAGGCTGCAGCTGAGGCCCCGCCCAAGGAGGAGGTGGTCCCTGGCAATGTCCGCTCCACCCTGTGGCTGTTTGAAACCAAACCCCTGGACACTCTCGGAGACCAAGTCCAAGTGGGTCACTTGCAGCGGGTGGGCCACCAGGAAGATGAAGGGCTCATGTGTGCTGGCTCATCACCACTTCCTGCCTTTCTGGGTGCCCCGCAGAGGGATGGGGTGAAGGGGGACGTGAAAAACTTCAAGAACCTTTTTGAGACCCTTCCCCTGGACAGTATCAGGCAGGGGGAGGCTTCAGTCCCTGGGAGTGTGAACCCAGCAGGAACCACTGATTTTGCTGGGCAGTCCCAGGCAGCAGGCTCCCCGGTGTACGCCGTGCAGGACAGCGAGGGCCAGCTCCATGCCCTGACCTCGGTCAGCAGAGAGCAGGTAGTGGGAGGTGATGTGCAGGGCTACAGGTGGATGTTTGAGACTCAGCCCCTAGACCAGCTGGGTCGAAGCCCCAGTACCATCGATGTGGTACGGGGCATCACTCGGCAGGAAGTGATGGCTGGAGACGTAGGGACAGCTCGGTGGCTCTTTGAGACCCAGCCCCTGGAGGTGATCCACCAGCGGGAGCAGCAGGAACGACGAGAAGAGGAGGGAAAGACTCAAGAAGGCCCCCAGCCCGAGGCACCCCCAAAAGGCGATGTACAGACCATCCGGTGGTTGTTTGAGACATGCCCAATGAGTGAGGTGGCAGAGAAGCAGTCCTCAGAAGTCACAGATCCCACAGCCAAGGCCCAGGCACGGTCCTCCACCTGGATGTTCAAGCCCCAGCCTCTTGACCCAGCAGAGGACTCCAGGGAGAAACACTTGCAGGTCAGCCAGGTGCAGGCTGGGGAAAGACAGACCAATGGGCATATCTTTGAGACTGAGCCTCTGCAGGCCTCCGGCCGTCCCTGTGGAAGAGGGCCTGTGCGATACTGCAGCCGGGTGGAGATCCCTTCAGGGCAGGTGTCTCGGCAGAAGGAGGTTTTCCAGGCCTTGGAGGCCAGTAAGAGGGAAGAGCAAGAGCAGGACTCCAGGACAGCCCCTGGGCCCATTGCCACCGGCTCTGTGCACAAGTTCACCTGGCTATTTGAGAACTGCCCCATGGGCTCCCTGACAGCTGAGAGCATCCAAGGGGGTGACCTGGAAGAAGAGCAGCCCAGGAAGCCCTCCAGCAATGGGACACCAGAGAAGCAGGAGACTGCAGCCGAGGGGACACTTCGGACTCTGCACGCCACACCTGGCATCCTCCACCACAGAGGCATCCTCATGGAGGTTCGAGGGCCAGGGGAGCTCTGCCTTGCCAAGTATGTGCTCCCAGGGCCAGGGCAGGGACGTCCCTATGTACAGAAGGAGGAGCTAGTGTCCGGTGAGCTGCCTAGGATTGTCCGCCAAGTGCTGCGCCGGCCAGACGTGGACCAGCGGGGCCTGCTGGTGCAGGAGGACCAAACTGGCCAGCTCTGGCTCCATGCACTGAGGCTGCCAGCTCCAGGCAACAGTGGGAATATTGAGGACATGGATCCTGAGCTCCAGCAGTTACTAGCTTGTGGCCTCGGGACCTCAGTGGCAAGGACTGGGCTGGTGATGCAGGAGACAGAACAGGGCCTAGTCTCCCTGACCGCCTACTCCCTACAGCCCCAGCTAACCAGCAGGGTCCCAGAAAGGAGCAGTGTGCAGCTGCTGGCCAGCTGCATAGACAAGGGAGACCTGAGTGGCCTGCATAGTCTGCGTTGGGAGCCACCAGCTGACCCAAGTCCAGGGCCAGCCACTGAGGGAACCCAGAGGCTTCTCCCAACTGAGAGCATCATCCATGTTCCCCCACTGGATACCAGCTTGGGGATGGGGCATCTGAGAGGCCCAGGGGCCACCTCCTGCCTCCCTCAGGCCATTGCAAAGGCAGTCCCTCTGGCTGGGCAGGCTGCACCCCCAGCCCCATTGCAGGATACAGAAAAGCAAGAGGACAGCAGTCACACTGGGCAGAAAAGGACGGCAGCCTTGGGAAGGTCAGAAGGCACCATGGCTACCCATGCAGAGTCCAGGGCCCCAGACCTCCAGGCAGCCTTGCAGAGTCTTCAGATGGCAACAGCTGAAGCCCAAAGCCTGCACCAGCAAGTTCTGAGCAGGCACAAGCAGGGCTCCACCCCTGCAGCCACAGCTGTGCCAGTCCAGGATGGCCTACCAGCACCAGCCCCTGCCACGGCAGCTACCCAGAGCAACAGCAGGCGTGTGGCTGCAGGTGACTCCAGGACCCCAGCAGCCCCCAGAAAGGTCAGTGGGGAAGAGAAAGCACCACCCAGAGGGCTGCTTGGGGGGTGGGTGACAATTCAGGATGGCATCTACACTGCTCACCCTGTGAGAACCTCTGATCCACCCAGGGGTGTCCAGCCAAGGGAAAGGGAGACTGTCCACTCAGCCCAGGCTCCCAGCCTACTCCCAGGAGGCCCAGCTAAGAGTCTGGGGCCAGGGCGGGAGGAGCCTGGGGCCTGCACACAGAGGGCCTGGAGGCCTCCAGGGAAGATCATGGCCCAAGACTGCCCAGGGGGCCTCCAAGCTGCAGAGACCACCCTGAAGACTGACCCTTTGGCCCACCACACACTGCCCTCTGGGGCCCAGGCTGCAGGTGCCAACCTGCATTTCCATAATGCCTCTGTTCCTCCCCCTCCTGCTCTCCCAGCTGCTGTGACAGGACCTGACCTCCCAGGCCAAAGCCAGCATGATGAGGACTCTATCCAGCAGGACTCCAAGACCCTACAGGAACCCTTTCTTCACACCCTTCATAGCAACCCTACTGGCCAGAGAAACCCTGGGGAGTCACAGACAAAGACCCCCAAACTAGAACCCACTATGCCTCCAAGGAAGAAGCCTCCAGTGCCCCCCAAACCTGCACACCTAAGCCAGCTCCCTCCTCAGAGGCCACGCAAGCCCTCAGTTCCGTCACCCAGCTTCTCCTCAGAGCTGGGACGAGGAGAACACAAACCAGGTGAGACACCAGCAGCCAGCCCTCGGCCAGCCGAGGTTCCCACTGCAGGAGGCCAGGGCTGCGTGCCTGTGGCTGGCTGGGCCAGTGCACAGAGCCATCTCACAGCCCAACATGACCTCATTGCCGAGGCTCAGGCTGCTGGTAGCAATGTGCAGAGCCCTGGGCCTACCAAGCTCAGCGCTTTCAACAGTGACTCTGCCTCACCACAGTGGGGCCCCAGCCCACCAAGAGAGCAGCCCATAGGATGTCCCAAGCAGGGGTTCTCCAAGAGCCCCCAGATTCTGCAGGGAAGCCAGCAAGAGCTCCAGGGCCTCCTGAGTCAGGTGCAAGACCTGGAGAAGGAGGCTGGATGCAGCATGGATGTGCAGGCCCTGCAGAGACTCTTTGAGGGCGTGCCCCAGGTAGGAGGGGTTGCCCCTCAGGCTCCGGCCGCTCCTCACAAGCCCAAGGCCTCAATGGAGCAGGCTTTTGGGGAGCTGACTCGGGTTAGTACAGAGGTTGCCCAGCTGAAGGAACAGACCCTGGCCAGGCTGCTGGACATTGAAGATGCTGTACACAAAGCCCTCAGCTCCATGTCTAGCCTCCAGCCTGGAGCTAACACCAGAAGCCATTCCCAGGAACCCCAAAAGGATCACAGTCCCCAAAAGGTCACTGTCTCGGCCTGCAGTAGAGCCAGACCCAGTTGCTCAGGCCAGGAGATCAAAGATCCAACAGCTATCAAGAGCCAAGCCAAGGTTGAATGCCATACTGAAGACCAGAGTCAAGCAAAGATCAGAAATCGCACAGAGGTCAGAGGTCAGGCAGCCTCAACTACCACAAGGAGGCAGGAGACATCAAGGAAAGATTCAGGTCTCCCTGGAGTCCTGCTTTCCAGCAGAGAGTCACCCTCTTCCCCAATTTTCATCTCCATCCAGTCAGGCACACGAAAGCTTCTAAAGGCTTCCAGCACTAAGGACAGCCCTGAAGACTCAAGGAACAGTGCACACCTAGCTCAGAGCCAGGCCCTGATCCACCAGGAAGGTGTTTGGGACACAGCTGGGGGAACAGAGGTGGCCACCAAGTGCCCTGGGCAGCCCAAGCCTGCCCCTACCTTGACCATCCCTCTGCCTACAGGGCAGCAAAAGAACATTCTGGAGCTGCAGACTGGGCCAGGTGGCTCCCAGTGCTGTGGAGCCACGAGAACTGTGACTGAACAGTATGAGGAGGTGGACCAGTTTGGGAACACAGTCCTCAGTTCCTCCACCACAGTCACCAAGCAGGCAGAGCCATCCAGGGGCGCAGAGCCATCCAGGGGCCCAGCTCCCCACCTCGGGCTCCATGTCTCCCCCTTGCTGAGGCAGTTCCTGCACAGGTCTGGTGGGCTCAGCAGTGGCCCAGCAGAAGCTGAGATGGCATGGGTGCCCTGCAGCCACTCCCAGCCAGCTGCCCAGTGAGTCCCTCCTTGGAGTGCCTCCCTTAGGACCCAAGGACCGAGGTGGTTGCCTTCGTCCTTGCCTTGCAAGAAGAAAGGACATCTTCTAAGGACTGTTGAGGGCTGTTTCCACCCAGTTCTTGCAAAGGGGTCAAGAAAGACCAAGAAGAAACCCACTGAGTGGTGCTGGCCTGGTGCAGAGAGATACAATATGTGCAGACACATGTGCTACTCACACAGGCCTGGCCCATACCTGCACACATGTGAGCCCACAGAGCCATCTCCCTCCAACCTCAGCCTGGATTTCTTTTATAATAGAGCCTGAATGTTGTAAGCCACCCTCTCCTTAAGCCCTGGAGAAGACCAGGGCCAACTGGCCACGGGGTTGGTATGTTTAGGATTGGCTGTGCCCCACCACGTTTCACTGGAAATGGGGAAGACAGTCTGAATAAACCCGACATTGATTCTCTATTCAGTGTCTGTTTGCACATCTGTTCCAGAGTCTGTGTTCACACTGTCAAAATATCAGCCACAGCCTCCAGCTTCCCAGTTTTCCTAGTAACATCAGGGTTGTAAGGCTGTGAAACGCCACCCCTCTCTGCCAGAAGGCCCTGGTCACTCCTCTGTTCTCCACCTGACACACGCACACCGCTGCCCCTTCTACTTCAGGCCTTCCCCCCTGGATCTTCCTGAACATCGTGGTGGTTTTAGAATCCTGCCCCAAAGCAGGAGAGCAGCCCCGTGGGGCTCAGCAAGGTGGGAGGACCTCACACCAGGAGGGTCAGTATACCCAACATGGCTGGGCCACTGTGTGCTGCAAAGGGGCCCCTGGGAAGGAAGGAAGTGCTCAGGTCCTGAAAACTGGAATGATTTAGTGAACAGTCTCTTTCCCTCTCTCCCCCCTGCCCCCCGCTGTCTTCTGTCTTCTCTTTCCTCTCTCCTCTTTTTTCCAGTACCAGGGGTTGTTGCCAGGGCCTTTTCCCAGAGCTATATCCCCAGCCCTTTTTTTTGACACAAGGTCTCATTAAATTGCCAAGGTTGGATTTAAACCTGTGATTGTCATGCCTCAGCCTTTTGGAGTTCTGGGATTACAGGCCTGCAGCACCACAATAGGCTCTTGCTTTTTTTTTTTTTAATCACCCCGTCCCACTATGTAATCCAGGCTGGCCTGAAATTCACTGTGTAGCCAGAGCTGTCTTCAAACTTGTGGTCTGCCTGCCTGAGCCTCCAGGAGGGCTGGAATTACAGGCAAGCACTACTACATCCAGCTTCAGTCTGTCTTTCTAAAACCACTGAGCCCCTTCTGAAAGCCAGGTCTGCTCTAGGTTCCAAGGGTCCTGCTCTCAGGAAACTGAGAGACATTTTATCATAGGAAGATGGAGAGACAAGAAAAATCAGATCAGGAATAGAGTGAGGAAACTGACTGGGCTGCCTTCCACTCTGGGAAGTGTTCTAATGCAGTGATGGGACAATGACAAGGGATTCCCTTGGAGAGGATGCCAGCACAGAACCTCCCTAAGAAGGAAACATCTCATCTAAAATCTGAATACAAGCATCTGGATAGTGGAAGTTGGGGGCAGGTGCCACACGGACAGAATAAAACTTTTCAGACCCAGGGATAGAGTAAATTTAGCTCCTGGGTTTCCTGGAGACTTTTCCAGAGAAAGGGGCATCAGCAGGTGGGGTTCCCCGCACAAGTTTCTGTGGGAATTTGCACATACTTTGCTCCATTTGAACAGATAGGCAGGCTCCCACCCTACCACCCCAGCCCAGGACTCAGCCAGCACATTATCCACACTGGCTCCTCAGTGCCTGCTCAGCTGATTGGGGTTGGTCCCCTGGGCAACAGGAGTGTTACACCTACTGCCCCTCTGGACGGGAAGCAATCAAGATGCCAAACCTACCTGACTCCATGTGGTATCCCCATGGTACTGACCCAAAGTCTCCCTATCCTGCCTTCTCGGGATCTCATTCCTTACAGGGCCCAGCACCTTAAAGCACCCTGTTCTCCTCAGTGTTCTCCTTTGTCAAATGGAGACGATTATAGCACCTATAATTGTGTCAATTAAGTGAATTAGTAAGTACTTGATACTCTGGCATCTGGAGTTCAAAGACATTGGCTTTTAATATTGCTGTAATTCGTTTTTAATAGATCTCCGTTCTCACCCGCAGGGGGGGTTCCTGTCTTATTCATCTTGGTATTCCTAGTGCTTATCCGGCGCCTCCACACACATCAAAAAAATGACTGCCTACGTGAAGGAAGTGAATAAGTACATCTGTCGATTCATCCTACTGACGTTTATCAGCTCTTCTTGCCAGGTTTCCTTCAGGGTGCTAAAAATAGAGATGAGCAAGGCAGAATTTATCCTTGACCTCATGCAATTTAGATTTAAAGAGCGAAGACAACACGTCAGCAGATTAGATAAGTTTGCAAGAGAGGAATGCTGAGAGTAAAATATGCCGGTCCACGAGGGGAGGGCTGGTAATCACTTTAGCTTGGGAGGTCGGGGACCCCGGCTATGCAGAGGTAACCCGAATGGCTGGGGAGCCAGGCTGAAGGTGGTGGCTCAGCAGGAAGAGTGGGAAGAGTGGGAAGAGGCGGGTGTGTGGGTGTGGAGCGCACCGACCACAAGGAGGGCAGCGGCGGCCGGCCGGGCCTCGCCCAGGCTCTCGCACACCTGCCGCCACACCTGCCGCCACACCTGCGGCCCGGATCGAGGCTCCGCCTCGCACCCACGCCCGGAAGAAGACGGGGCTGAAAGTGAGTCTGGAGGCGGAGCGCGCGGCGCCCCGCCCCGCCCCTGCGCCCGCAGGGCGTGTGTGTCTCCTCCGCGCCCCCCCCCGCGGTTGCCAAGGTGACGGTGACGTCGAGGGGCCGCGAGGTTCAGAACGTTCGGCAGTCGGCGGCGGTTGCCGGGAAACGCTCGGCGGGCGCGCAGCCAGGGGCTGGCTCCGGGCTGAGACGCAGTCGGGGCCGCCCTTGCCCGGAGCCTCCCTCTTGGATTCCAGATGGCTGCGGGCCTGCGGGCCTCCTCTCATGGTGGTCTTGGCTCCGCCCGGGACCGACCTGCCGGGCAGGGCCCTCCACCCTCCTTGGTATACTGTCATTGCCTCTGCACCTGGAACTCGTCCTTCTGTCCCCATCTTCTCTGCCATCACCCTACCTCGGGCCACCATCCATCTCCTCCTTCTGAGGGATGAGGCACTGCCTTAGCCTCACAGGTGGTCCTCTCCCCTTTGTCCTGTCTGTCCCTATAATGGGTCCTCCACCAGGCAGCCAGATCAACCCCTTCCTGCCCAACACTACAGGGGCTTCCAGTTCACTCAGCCTGGCACCTAAACTCCCAGTGGCTTAGCTGTCAGCGTTTCCTGTCCCTTTAGCGCTCGCTCTCCTCTTCACCTTAATCACACTGGCTTTCTTGCTCGCTGTACCTTCCTGGAAGCCTCTTCTAGATCTTTAGTGACTGAGCTTCTCAGATCTCACTTCTGATGGCCCTCTGGAAAAGCTTTCCCAGATCTATCCTCCCCTTCCTCCAATCTAAAGAAGCCTTCCTGCAAGTTTCCACGAGGTTTCAATCTTGCTCACTTCTTTGTTGTTCGTGTTGTAGCTATTATCTCTGCAAACAGAGCCACACTTAGTGGTTTAAACACCAACATGGGACGGTGCTAATAAATCCTTTGGGCCAGGAATTTGGACAGGACACAGCAGGGGCCGCCAGTTCCTATGCTGTAGTGCCTGGGCCTCAGCTGGGATATATGCACGGGGCATCTCTGTGTGGCCTGGGCCTCCTTGCAGCAAGGCCATCCCAGGGCAGCTGGACTTCTGTATTGTGGCTGGGGCTCCAAAGACGTATTCCACCTCACAAGGCAGAAGGTGCATACCTTTTGTGACCTGGCCTCAGAAGTCACCAAGAATCACATTGGTCCATTCTGCTGGTTACAAGTAATCCGAAAGTCTGTCCAGGTTGAAAGGAAAAGGCATTGAACCTTTTTAGGCAAAATGGGGAAAGGAGAACATGAAACTGTCTTTGGAAAGTACCATCTGCAGACACACTTCTCAAGTGCACTATCATCCTCGTGAAGAACTGTTTGTTGCTTAAAGCATCTCCTTTGTCTAGGTGGCACAAAACACATAGTATGTGCTTGATTCATTTTTTTTTTTTCATTTTAAATTTTGGCTTTTTTTTGGAGACAAGGTCTCACTAGGTAGTTCAAACTAGCCTCTAATTTGCTCTGATCCTCCTGCCTCAGCCTCCCAAGTGCTGGGATTACAGGTGTGGGCCAACACACCCAGTTTAATTCATGTTTAGTGAATTCTGTAATTACAGTTTTGTCTTTAAGAAGTCATCTGAACCCAGCTGTTCTCCCAATAAGTGTTTCCTGCCCCATCCTTGATTTAGGCTAATCTGTGTTGGAGAAAAGCCCAGCATTTGTATTGCAAGGAGGGACTAAAGTAAAGCTTGTTTGGTAGTGATGGGGTACAGCTATTTAGGGATTGGAAAATGTGAGGCCAGATGAGATTCAAGGACAGTTTTCTACCAAAAGGGATGCTCGGGCTGAGTCTGCTTTTTCCTATTCTGAACTCTGTAAGGTCCAGGAGGATTCGTTTTTTGTCCTCCAGGCCCTGGGGGCAGGAAGGTGGCCCAATGGGAAAGGAGCTTTGGAGAGGTTCGTGGTGGGGTGCAGAATGTCAGTTAGGGACAATTGCAGGGACCTGCAGGTAGCCCTGAAGCTGTCCACATGCCTAGTGAATTACTCTAATTCTCCCTGCTTCATCAGTCATGAAGGGCATTCCATTTGCTCTTCCCACTGTCCTGGAGCACCTACAGTTTCAACTCCCCTCGTCCCCTTTTCCACAAGGGGCAAACAGGGGCAGTGGCATCTGCCATTCACCCAAGCCAGAGAAGGCAGCCCAGGCCTCTCCCTGCCCTGCCCCCTCACACAGCCCCTCCCCCATATGCTGAGGCTCCCCTCCCCCTCTGTCTCCATCGTGCTGTGCTTTCTGTCACTCCTCCAGTCCAGCCCTCCACCTTTCCCAGGAAGCCTTTCAAGGCCCTACCGTGTAGCTGTGATTATCCCCTCTCTAAATCGTTCCCTCCAGGGTCTTTCATGTTCTGTCTACCCCAGTTTTGCCCAAAGCCAGCTTACCAATTAGGCACAGTTGGGCTGGGGATTTAGCTCAGTGGTTTCGCCACCTGCTGCACAAGCGCAAGGATCTGAGTTCGATCCCTGGTACCAAAAAAAAAAAAACCCAATTAGGCACGGTAGTCTTGGTTCCTAACTAAGGTCCACAATATTTTTAGGGGCCCATAAAAATGGTTTTAACTTTTTTTAAACTCTGAGGGGGGGGGAACTTTTAGAAAGAAGAAAATGTTTTAATATGTGATATTAACATATTCATCTTTATATTGCAGGTAGCTAAATTAGTTAGAAATTATTATAAGGTAGTTAGACAAAGCTGGGCCCTTAACATAAAAAAACAATTGAGGCACATTCACCGGTTAGCATTATAAAAAGAGAAGAGATACTACACTTATCTGCTTCCCTAGACATGCAAAGGAGTGATTGATATTCTAAAGAGACATCAATCTCCCTAGGTCATTTCCTTTCCAGAAATTCCTGGTTCATTCTCTGTACCCTTGCTATGTGACTTGTTTTCCCATTTGACCCCCATTTAATCACTATTACCTGAGTGACTATACTTGTAATCTTATTGGTTGATTATGGTTTTGTCCCACCTCATGCTCACCTTGTGAATTTACGTTGGATCTTATTGGTTGGCTCATTTTTGTACCTGTCTCACCTTGTGTCTTTGCTCCATAAAAATCATCTGGGAAACAGGGCCCTGGCCAACCCACTTTCTGGCCCCCTCTCCGTCTCTGTTAGACAGGAGCTATTTTTCAGTAAATTTTTCCTACTCTTAGCCTCCATTGTTCTTAGAATTCATTCTTGATAGAGTTCTCTGCTAGATAAAATGGCCCCAGAACCCTGCATCCTAAAATGGCCCCTGCCTACAGGAAATGAGTCACTCCAGAGAACAAAG